TTAGATAATTAGGTATCAATATTATTATAACGCCATTACTTCGCCGATTCCTCGAAATCCAGAGACAACCAAATTTTGTTTGATTTATTCTCTTTAAAGGCACCTATCCTATGCCTCTGGTGATCTCAGCACTGGCTTGTGACGATAGGTCTGCAATCAATCGTCACATTAAGTCGAATGTCTGTTTTCAGCCCTTCAGAGGAAGGTGGCCGACATGCTGGGTTTTGAGTCAGCGCTCTTTGTGCCCTCGGGCACAATGGCCAATCTGATATCCAGTGAGTATTAACACTAATGGATGCTGCCACACGGCATCACACTTTGCAGGATGCCTTTGTTTTTGAATGGATGGTGGCTAAGTGTGACGCGGCTGCAGACACTGGGATTACAAGTCTCAGACCGCTCTCCGTGTATCACAAGGCGCCAGTTGCAGATATTTTCCACCAATCACCTGCCAAGAATTGCACCGGTCCCGTGCAATCGCACAGGCCAATGAACAGCAGCCGTATCCCAGACTCTCCGCCAGTCAAGTCCCGCACATTTGTACCGCCGCCCAGCCGGCACCCAATCACACACCTCCAAACGCCAGTTGCAGGTGGTAGCCAACAGTGCAGCCTGATACGTTTCTTCTTGTTGCCTAACATTCTCAACGAGAGATCACGTGAACTGCGTGAGTCAGTGGGGGTATGCTGGTCTTGTGGCACGGTTGTTGAGGGGTCAAATCCCAGGGTGTCTGTGGTGTTCCGGACTACTTTTTGCTGCTTGGCTCGGGCCGGAAACGTCTAGTGTATTATCACTCATTGGAAATGCTAACTACAGTTGCGGGATGCTGGTCTCGTGGTATGGTTCCTGGAGAGTCAAGTCTCAGGGTGTCTGTGGTTTTCCAGGGTACTTTCTGCTTCTTGGTTCGGGCAGGACAATTATCGTTTGCTATCATTTATTGGAGACGTAAATCGTGAAATACATCCACTGGCTAGAAGTTAATTAGTCGACATACAAATGATCTCACCACCTGAAAAGGTACCTAGGCACATTCAAACCTTTGACCATTTTGGTCAACTATCGTCCTTGTCATGTCCGTCGTCCTAGCAATCTGACTGATACAGTCACCTTTCATGGCTTCACTATGAGCCCCTGCATTGTCATCTGTCTATCACGTCTTTGGTAAGACATCACAACCATCGCTAGCGGCCCTCTGACACTCGGGGTTCCTCGCAACGGTTTCTGTCCAGCAAAGCCCCCAGCCGACTTCAGAACCCTGGCTGACACAGAATCTCCTGTAGGCACTGTCGGCCCCTGGCTGACACAGAATCTCCTGTGGGCACTGTCGGCCCCTGGCTGACACATAATCTCCTGTAGGCACTATCGGCCCTTGGCTGACACGGAATCTCCTGTAGGCACTGTCGGCTCCTGGCTGACACAGAATCTCCTGTGGGCACTGTCGGCCCCTGGCTGACACATAATCTCCTGTAGGCACTATCGGCCCCTGGCTGACACGGAATCTCCTGTAGGCACTGTCGGCCCCTGGCTGACACAGAATCTCGTGCAGGCGCAATCGGCCCCTGGCTGACGCAGAATCTCCTGTAGGCATTGTTGACCCCTGGCTGATGCAATAAATATATATTGTTCCAATGGTCCCGACCGATGCGAAAGGTTTTTTAGGCGATCACGAACTACGGCTTTGTCCCTACCTGGGCCCCACATCTCACACCGACGGGAGACTGGCTTAGTATTGGTCGTCTCTGACCGTCCTCATCGTTCCAGCCTCCCCGCTGTATCGACGCAAGAGGCCCTCAGACCGATGCCTGAGGGCCCTGCCCTGCCGACCGGAGTCCCTTACTACGGCCTCCAGAGGGCCCACTCGAGCTTTTCGGACTCTCCAGTCGGGCCCTGATTGTCGGCACATGTTCACTGTATCCCGTCTGCACCTCTAATTGGGTCTTGCTTTTAATCTTTGGGGAGGCCTAAGATTTATTTGTCCCAGGACCATGTCCTGTGAGATCCCGTTGACGAAGACGAAAGAATAGTCCGATAATGCAGAATGACCCGATGCAGCACAACACAAAACAATGCAATATAATACAATTCCGCTGTGCTCGGTTCTGGTAAGGGAAACATGAGTTAACCGTTATCTGGCTCACCTTGTACTTTTAAAAGCTGCCGCGTACTGTAGTACCTTGTTTTTTGTTTTAATCCAGGTGCTTTCACGTAAAAACAACTTTTCAAACGTTTGCCGACCGGCCTAACATATGAATGCGTTAGCAGGACCAACACTTGGTACCTGCCGGATGCCATTTGATACACAATAAAATCCCCGACAGCTGGACATATAAGACCCTGGCGAAAGCGCAAAGCCCTCTGAGCAAAGGGAAACAGCCAAAGACCAATGTAGATAAATCAATGTTCTTGAGCAATCATGAGTGCCTTGGGATATGAAGGTACAGGTCCCGGACAGCTGCTTTGGGTGCTTTTAGTACATTAATTAATGTTCTTGAGCAATCATGAGTGCCTTGGGATATGGAGGGACAGGGACCCGGACAGCTGCTTAGGGTGCTTTTAGTACATTAATTAATGTTCTTGAGCAATCATGAGTGCCTTGGGATATGGAGGGACAGGGTCCCGGACAGCTGCTTAGGGCGCTTTTAGCAAATAGGAAGTGTCCAAGACCATTGTAGACGACACTGTGCGATCACAAGTGCCCGGGCAGGTTAGCAGAAAGGTCCCCGACAGGAGTAAAGGGTTCTACGCAATCGAAATCAAAAGAAAAGTGCCCTAGATCAGTATAGGCTGCCCCTGAGCATCGAGTTCCTCGGTGCGTTGACTTATATGGGCCCCAGCAACAGCGCAGGTCTCCCAAACCAAGCAGAAAGAGCCCGAGACCAATATGAAGGCCCTTCGAGCAACCAAGAATAGTGCGGCAGCTTGAAAAGAATGTCTCACGTTTGAAAAAAATGGAGCCTAGCATCAGACATGATGAAATAAGCTCGCTTTTAACTATTGATATGCTTTTAAATCCAACAGACTCTTCCAGACAACACAATTTCGCTATTTAATAGCTATGCTCCTCAATGGTCATCGTTTCATTGCGCCATGGAGCGTATATGCGTGGTCAGAGTGGCTTCCAATCTGGCCGTGTGAGATTGACACCGGGGTGGCCGAGATAACTCACTTGTAGTACACCAGCTTGTCGATAGTTGCCGTTCTATTCGGTGAGCGACCTACAAAACCAGAATATGATCCTGTGCGCGCGTGTTGAAACTTCCTCTTGATGTTCTTGCATTCTTGTTATTTTTAGTGCTTACCTGCATTCACAATCTCAGTTAAAGCGTATTTCTCGACCTTTTCGACTTCGAGCCTTATTGCCTCATAACTCGTAGTATTGTCCAACTTCCTGTATGAGTAGCACACAACATGATTCGTGTTGGAAGCTTGCGCTGAACGTATCTGATTGGTTGAGAGCCAGAGACAATTCGTTGATGTCATAAATGATGCTGACGTACGACACACCGACACACAGTCCTAAATCGGACAGTGCTGTGATCGGCACTAACTGATCTTCAAATTCGCCATCTTAGTTCAAACCCCCCATACAAGTAGGGATTACTCATATTAACACATGGAGCCCCTGCTATGGTATATAAAGATTTTCGGGCCAGTGGGAAGAATCCGTGGAGGTCTCCTGATCAAAACAAGTGCCCTGACATGCTAGTAGATAGGGCCCCAACAACTAGTAGGGCTATCCGAGCAAAGTCAACTAAATCGAGGACAAGGTGGAAGGCCCCTTCACGATCGGTCTGTCCCGGCACATGTACATAAAGCCCCCCCCCCCCCCCCTAGCAAGAGCGCAAGGTCTCTGAACGGCGTAATGAACCTTAAAATGCCCCCAGTCACCAATCTCTTAACAAGCGAAAAATTGCCTGCTGGTGGTCCGCTCACTTTCACTTGTGACTGTTCCTGGTCGCCTGGAGACCCAAGGCGTCCAGTTTTGTTGCGTCTTGTATTAAAAGCAGCTTCTCTTCTGCCAGCTAGAGGACCCCTTCAAGGCCATTATAGGTTCTTTCGGGGCCCAAGGGGGCATGACCCCATGAACCCTTCTAGATTCGATTATGGCCATGTCACATATTACCATCTCATCTGAAAATCACCCGTTCACACAATGGCCCGCCCCGTACACCCTGTCGCAAAGAAAATGAGCGGAAGTGTGGGATTGAGGTGCCTGATTATTGGATGGAGCTGTATGTCAGTTACCAGGCCGGAATAACCAACGAATCGCTTACATTCAATCTTGCCCTGTGATGCAGCTAACGAAACTAAGTCATATGATATAGGGTACCAGAATCTATGTGCTATCATAGACTGTATGAAAAAGAATTTGCCCGAATTCATGCGCTTCTGCTCACCGGACCAGAGTATGTATATTGTGACTGTCAAGTGTTATGCTTCGCTATTCTATTGACCTGAACCTGCGACTGCGGGATATTTCTGTCTACAATCATGCACCACTGAGTTTTGTGCGTTTTCTCCGCCCATAGTCATGTGTCACTGCACGGCCAGAGACAGCGAGATGATCGTGGGAGACAAGACTCACATCCATCTGTACGAGCAGGGCGGCTGCGCTACCGTGGCAGGTGACGTCAGCGTGTGAGCGAATTCAGGCCTGTCGCCACCACTTCACCTCAACAGCGTGTGGGCGTCTTGAGGCCTGTCGCCACCGCTTCACCCCAACAGCGGGTGGGCGTCTTGAGGCCTGTGGCCATCGCCTCACCCACAACAGCGGGTGGGCGTCTTGAGGCCCGTCGCCACCACTTCACCTCAACAGCGTGTGGGCGTCTTGAGGCCTGTCGCCACCGCTTCACCCCAACAGCGGGTGGGCGTCTTGAGGCCTGTGGCCATCTCCTCAGCCCAGCAGCGTGTGGGCGACTTCAGGCCTGTCGCCAGCGCCCCACCCCAACGGCTGGACCGGCAGCCGCTTTATTGGTTTTGATAACACAGCCTGACGGTTGGTTGGATGCCTGTCCTTGACCGCGTTTAGGCCATCCCGAAATTCCTCTCCCAAAAATATCAAGGCGCCCTCTTGAGCAATTACTAAGGGCCTACTACGTTGGAAGTGCCTTTCCGCGGGCCTGATGGACGAATGCGTTGCCAAATTGAGGGTGTTGCGATGGGCTCACCTCTAGGCCCTTTATTCGCTAATTTTTTATGGGACATGTAGAAGTCAACACACTACAAAATGACGGCATAAGACCGGACATTTACTGCCGCTACGTAGACGGTATGCTTGTGGAAGTTAGGGACATTGACCAACTAGGGTGTCTGAAAAACAGCTCTCGGCACCAAAATATGTATTCCAATGGTAGTACGCAATTTTTATCCCTTAACACTCAAAGCTTATTTCTTATACCATTTCGTTTTCTCCAACGATAACATAAGATCTCGGCTCCAAACTGGATTATGCATGCTTTGTTTATGATGGCGCGTCTGAATCCAGCAAGCGTGTTCTTGATACCGTCCACCATACTGCCATTCGCATTGCTACTGGGGCGTTTCGCACATCACCTTCCGTCAGCCTTTCAACGGGGCCACACGAATCACCACTTTCGACGAGGAGGAAAATGCTTGGCATACGTTATGCCTTGAAGCTGCGGCAGTTCCCACTTCACCCGACATATTCTGCAATATTTTCGCGGTTTGCGGTAAGTTCTCTTCGTCATGGGCCGCAGCAGCACACTTTAACTTTTGGTTCCCGAATGAGAGCGTTATTGCTTGAGAGCGGAATTCCTCTTCGGAGTGTAAGGCAAGTAAGTCACCTGGCTTCTCCTCCTTGGCAAATGACCACACCCTTCATTGACACCTCACTCACGGAAATTATGAAAAAAGACGTCACACCACACCTGTTGAGATCCAGGGCAGCTGAGCTTTTGGCGTGTTACGAAGGATATACCCTGACATACACAGACGGATCCAAAACCTCGGATGGCGTGGGTTGTGCTTTCGTCAGCGGTTCCGTCACTCGATCGTTCTCGTTACCGGCCCACTCGTCAGTTTTTACGGCGGAATTAGTTGCAATCATCAAGGCGATATGTTTCATAGAAGTGGGTGAAGAATCTTCACACGCCATTTTTACAGATTCACTGAGCAGTCTCTTTGCACTGAAGTCTTTTTATCCATTATGTCCCCTTTTACAGGACATTTTATCACGCCTGACACAATTGAATCGGGTTGAAAAGAGAGTTGCGCTGTGCTGAATCCCTAGTCACGTCGGTATCGTGGGCAACGAACTGGCTGATGCCGCTGCTAAGCGAGCAGCGGTAGCACCATATACCCGGTTTTTGCCTATCCCTGCCAGAGATTTTTACCCGGCAGTCAAGACCTTCCTGATAAGCAAAGTGCAGCGCTGTTGGGACCAGGTGCGTGACAATAACCTCAGGGCGATAAAGACAGAGTTGGGCTTGTGGTCGTCATGCTCTCGCAGTGTGCGGTGGGAAGAGGTGGTTTTATGCAGGCTACGCATTGGGCATACTTATGCCACCCATGGCCATCTGTTGCATGGAGCCGACAGACCCCTATGCCAGCGGTGTGGTGCCGTCCTGACCTTCCATCATGTCATTATATCA